TATATATATATATATATCTGCATAATCTATTAAGACCTTTTTAAATTGTAGCTTAGTGCTTAACGCTGCTTTAATGTATCTTGACATAAGGTTAGCTCGGCCTACTGGTATTGCATTTGCATTTGATTTAGCTGTTAACGTAAAAGGTTCTCATATTTTCGTCTCCAGAATTGGCTAACTTAATATTGTTGAAATTGCTTCAGGATAGAGAGAATACATGGAAACCTTTTTATACACCTTTACCTTGTAATTCAGCGTTATACTTCTGTCATCTTGACCTACAATTAAACTCCGGAAAGCAGTATTCACAAGCAGAGATCTCCTTTATGAGTATTTTGATCAATGTTTTAAATACCTTCATTGTACTTATATTATACTTGGCTTGGATACATGTGCTTGGTGTGTTCTTTTATTACTTAATTGTTAAACAGATGTTCTGATTTTTGGGAAGTAACTTATAAGATTTGAGTATACTATAGTGATCGGTCATGTGAGGGAAAGTTGAATATTCTTTATCAGGCTATTTAAAAAAATCTGTAATTGACTTCGGAAATGTATCCATTGGTGTTTCATCATTGCTTACCTAATAGCCTAGAAACGGCCACTTGATAATTTTCTGCAAGTAGTTGAGTACATATATTTTTGAATCATTCATGGTTGGCGGACTTTCGTTTTCTTTAAATAAAGATATGATAAGGCAAGAATGTTTGAAGTTGTGAAGCTTCTAATACGTGGAAATTTTTTTTCAGCAGTTTGGTCGGATAATATGCTTGTACTAACAAGATATGAGTTCAGATAAAAATGTGACATACAATGTCCAATTTCTGAAAGTATAGTGCATTCTTGCATGTCTTCTCTGTACATGATTATATTTTAGCTTAGCATGGATAACAGATAGAAACAATAGGGCTTAGAAACGGCAGCATGAGTAGATGTTTCATTCGTCATTTGAGTATTGTTTTTTGTTTTTGTTTTGTAGAAGTTTGTTATTGAGGCTGCATGGACAAGAAGATCGCGGAGTGAAGCTGCAAAAAGGCCCAACAGGAAATCATGGAAACAAAGGACGGATATGTATTTGAGACCTTTTTTGCTAAACATTTTCTTTTCAAAACGATTTATCCATGCAAAAGTAATGCATCGAGGAACCAGCAAGGTGATCTCTGTTGCTACCACAAATGCGAAAGACTTAAGGAACTCATTGCCTTCCCTTACTGACAACAACGCTGCCAGGGTGATAGGCAAGTTGATTGCAGAGCGATCAAAAGAAGCTGATGTCTATGCCATTGCATATGAGCCCGGGAGGAATGAGCGAATAGAAGGTAGACTTGGGATTATTCTTGACACTATCCAAGAAAATGGCATCATATTTGTTTAAAATTCACCTTCTGTATTTGTTACTAGAAACTAGCTACATTAGAATATTTAGTATCAGTTATTACCAACTGTTAGAACCCATGTGTCTTCTGTATTCTTCAGAGCTCGTCTTTGTAGCATATTATTATAGAGTTATTTGCCAAAAGATTGTTCTACTGTTGCGGTACTGAAAATGCCAGGACCAGAGGTCTCGCAGATTTGACCTTTGTAGGGACTAATACCATATCAAATTGAGCAGAATGGTGCACGTCCAGTTAGCCAATTAATGCTACTGAGTTTTAAGAAAAAACTATAAAAAAAAACAGTAGTTTTTGTTTTCCCAAAACTAAAATTTTATATTCTAAGAACAATTCTTCCAAGAAAAAAACTCACACCAGACGCAACAACTTGTTCTCCTGTATAAAAGAAAAACATTTCTTATTATTTCTGGCGGGGGAATGGGATGATGTAAAAGCATATTGTGTTAGGTCTATCACTACTTACCACACGTTTTAAGTCCCAATTCTTAATCGTTCGCGAAAGGCCCAAATATGTGTGCGCGTGCGCGTGAGAGAGAGAGAAACTCATAATCTTATTTATAAAAATTCAGTCTCGACAATGATAATACAAAGGCAATATGCCAATAATACAGCATTTGTTCCCTTCATAAGAACAAAAAATAGGAAGAAAGAAAAAGGAATTTTTGCCATAAACTTCTATAAAAGTAGAATCTATAAAGATACATCGCCTTGCTGAAGACGCATAGCAAGCACCAAAATGCAAACAATACTGGTATACCTGGAGAAAATGGAACGTTGTAATAAGAGAAGGTTAGTCAACAATAAAATCAATTCAGATGAGAAACAAATCATACATTGCAACCCAAGCAAAGCTCTAGATATCTATCTAAGGAAAATTCGGTGATAAACAAGTAACACAAGGAAGTCCAAGTTTGGAGATCTCAATTACCAGTAACACTTAATCATGATGCCGCTCTACCAATATTTTCCTAGGCAGCAACCTGTAACATACAAAGAGAATCTGTATGAAATTCCACAGAAAATGCAGAACAAAAATTCAATTTATTTTGACAAATAAACGGAAAATACACTCATATCATTAGCTTAAGAGCAACAGCCAACAACAGAGTGAATCACCTACATAATTATATATGGAGAGATTTCTCCTAGATAAGGCAAAGTTTAGGAGCAAACTTAACCACACCAATTATTATAAATCAAATAATGCTCCAAATAATCAAACCACATGCAGAAAATGTTAGAACATTTGTATGACAAGAATCATATATATAATTAACAGTGATCCCCAGCATCAGTTAAACATGTTCATATGATTAATACTGCCTAGGTGTTAGTTTAAACTGATCTCAACGTAAAAAGATCTAGCTCCGTATAAGCCCTAACATTTGCATCACAGGACATTTACTTCCCAAATTACGTAACATACACTGGATATCCTTTTCCATGCAAGTTGAAGGTCTTAACATCCTTGTAACTTTCAGTATACCATCATATTAGTACTTTACCTTCTCAACAGCTGGGGCAAAAACAGCTTTAACTGCTTCAAATACTTCTCCAACAGGCTTTGCAGCATCAATCTGAAGAAAAAAAGATGTCAACTTCAGTTTAATATGCAGGGTCTCTCTCTCTCTCTCTCTCTCTCTCTCTCTCTCTCTCTCTCTCTCTCTCTCTCTCTCGTGTGTGTGTGTGTGTGTGTGTGTACACGTAACCACGAGATCATGAAGATAACTTTAAATTCATGAATTTCTGTGTTAAATCTTTCTACTTTAGAGCATAAGCTCTTGATTTTGCTAATGCTTAGGTCAGTATGTAGTTAGCTCATATGCATACGTATATATATGTGTGTGTGTAATAAATATGTATGTACATCTCCTGGTAATTATCTCGTATTCGAGGTGTACTGACATATATCGAATCCTTTCTGTTCTATGGTTCCACATATTTTCGATGATTGACGATTTTAGGTTTTGGTGTTTCCTGATGGATACGCTATATAATATGTGGTGATTTCCAGCTACTTTTCTCAATTCGGCGATCTGTCAACTGCTTCCTGCTTGTTGATCTAGTTTAAGAACTTGTATGAGTTGTACCGGAAACAAAATTGTTGTTCTCTCTGTTTTGATGTTGCTTTTGAGTTTTGAGATGCAGCTTCTAAGAAATTAGGTGTAACAACCTTAAGATAATGAACTCAATAAATTGAATAGTGAATGTTCTAGAACATTCCCGACTGTTAAAGTTTAATCATCCGATGGATGGTTACTGTTCTGATTTACTCAGAATCTTAGATTTGTTAATAAGTATTCCTCTCAGAATTGTTTTAGTGCCAGGTAGATACACTTTAAGCATAGTAAAGCTGTTCTGTTTGCTAAAGATGCATAAGCTTATGGAAACTTCCTCGTTGATGGACTAAAATGTGTATACTTAGTGTAGGATATCTAGATTTCCTGGTTCTCACAAATATTCAAGCTTAACGTTGAGTCCTGGGAAATTGTCTGTTGACATAGGGACATCTACACTGAAGTTTTAATTTAGGCTCTTCTGAGTGAGATTCCAATGTTACAATACCAAATTATTTGTCCATTTTGTATGACAATTAGTGCAGTTCTTCGTGCTTTGTTTTTAAACATGAAGCAAAATATTTTGCAGCACTTTATTGGAAGAGGATATATAACAGACTTGCAGGAGATATGAACTTTCTTTTCCGATGAAGCAATGATCTTGTCTGCGATTTGTTTGATCGAAAATAACCAGATATATCACACTGGGAACACTATCATAGGAACTGGAGCTTCATGAGAACCAGATATGTCATCTGGCTAAGAAAGTTAGAAAGGGCATCTAGATTTAACACCTTATTTTTGTCATCATCTTTTAAGCTTTATGAGATTATGTCAGTTTTGAGTTATTGACCTAAATCAAGTAAACATGTATTAGAATCTTGTCTTCTGTAAGTTGATCTCATGCTTTACAAGCTTCCATCAAGCTTTGGATAAACAAGATTAAGGATAATCCTTGTATTTACGTGATTTTTCATTGTTTCATAGTTCCATTGAACATGGGTTTTAACTGCAGTGCTCGTGTTAAGTAGTTTTCTCTCATTGGCTCTATACATCCTTATGTTGTAACTTGCAAATTAAAAGGGCTAGAAGAACCATCCATGACACTGTTATTCAGATAATATAGCATATTCCACATATCGGAGCTTTTTCATATCTGTTGTACGTGTGTTATTTCGTTACATTTTCCTTCTAAGTTTTGGATAGTTAAAACAGATTCAGACACAAGGATGCCATCAAGTGGCAGGTGAAGCAGAAAAGGAGTACAAAAAGATGTCTGAGCGAATCAATGAAGGCAGGGATGCAATGAAGGTAAATCTTCCATTATCTGCTATTGCCTTTCACAAGTCTGCTCCTATTTAATCTCAATTGTTGTGGCATTACCGTTAGTTAATTTAATCTTTCCTCTCTAGGCTTCATATTCTACATTCATGGCAGATCTTCAAGCTAGTGGATCTCGTCGTAAGTTCTTAGCCTTGTGTCAACTATGAGGATATGCTTTTTAGTAACTCCAACTGTATGCTGCAGGTTTTTTTTGACAATGCTGAACACTTTAATAACCTTGAACACTATAAGCAGATGAAGAAATTGACTGTATTTTCTTGTTCTTTTTTAATTGGCTTGGCCAAGAGTGTAGCAAATTCTTCTTAATGTCTTAATCGCCTTTCGAGGAGGAGTAACATCTTATAAACTTGTTGACATACTTTACAGTTTGCAAACAAACCATCCCTGAGCTGTCACAATCCGTCGAGAAAGACATAGATGCTCTCAGGAACCGTTATGGGATCCATTCAACTTAAGCTTGTTGAAGGCATTGGCATTAAGGTAATTTCTTTTGCTGCTTGATTGTTGTTGTACTTGTATCTATCTTATGTTTCTCAAAATCTGAACTAAGAATTATATGGGGCGATGCATGTTTTAGTTATCTTTCCTATAACTATGTTTTTATTTTACCTGGTATATAGAACTTGAGTTAGGAATTTTTTTCTTTTAATGGTAGTACAAGATCATCAGAACAACACGGTAGCTGGTATAAATGCGTATAATGTCGCGGCATATTCATTTTGAAAAATGTGAAATATATCTGTATACCCGGGGGAAATGCCAATGAAATCCTTTCTCCTTATCTGTATGGCCATATTGAAGACTTAGATCTAGATTGCTTGATACCGTCATCATAACTTCTGTTTGATTAGTGTTTCTCCTGCAATTATTGTAGTGTTTTTTTTTTTGGTTGATCAAATGATTATCTGTCCGTCTGATATAAAGCATTGTCGTCTGCTTTTGATTGACATTTTTCCGAAACTCAGAATCCATTTTAATTTGAGTTATATGATTTCTTGATAGGTGGAATCTAGTTACTCTGAATTTCATTAACGAAGACAATATAATGTAGGAGCAAATGGAGATAGTTCAAGTGATTATGTTTTAAGGCCTGCTTACAATAGAAATTCATCCATGAAAATTCGAACTCCTTTTTGCTTACAGTTGCAGTTTCTTGAGGAATATACACAACATGCAAATTTGAGTGCTTAGTCTTGTAAATTCATATCTTCTAGATGCATTGACTACCAGCTTCCTGGTTCACCCAGCCTTATATTGGCCTAATTTGGTAATTTTCTATTAGAACATTACTTTCGTGCATATGTGACATGAAACGAAAGGTGTTATATTACACCATACAACAGAATGTATTTGAAAAGAAAAGAAAATTGGAGATGTTCCTTTTTCTTATATACACCAAGACTACGCTCCAATTAATTATTACAGGTGAGAGAATAGCTTCTAGGCCTTTGGTCCAGTGGCGGATGCACATGGACACTTTGGCCCATTAACTTTGACCATATTTAGTAAATTACATAGGCAATTGTACAAATATTTTGATAAGTATTGAGTTAACTCCCATAATTAAATTTATTTTTCCTTTTTTTTTGAGTCTTTATCGGCTAGCACCCATAACTTTAAAATCCTAGATCCGCCACTACTTTGGTTACTACTTGCTTTTGATAATTAGTCTACTTGAGGATTACGTATAAGAGTATAATGTAGTGTATATGTAGAGAAATCCGGCGTCAGTACTTAAGCTTTTGAAAGCTCTGATAAAGAGATTGATAACTTGCGGTAGTTGAAACTAATTTGATCGTATCTCAACAACTTAGGGGCCGTTTGGAAATAAAAAAAAAATTCCAAAATATATTTTCAAATTAGTGTTTGGTTATACATTTAACTGAATTTTTGAAGATGAATTTCAAATTTAAAAAGTAAATTTTTTAAGATGAATTTCAAGTAAACAATGTTTTTCTCAAATAAAATCGTACCATTTTTCCAAGTGAAATATTGTCAAATATTTTCTTTTTCAATTTAACTTCAAAAACTATTTTTCTTTTAAATCTCACATTTTTTTGATATCCAAACACCTACTTAGAATTATGCAAAAAGTTAAAGCATTTGATTGATCACATTCTTATATTAATTCTTCAAAGCTTACCTCATGGCCGTCCCTTTTCTATGTAACTTTTTTGGTTGGAAAGGAGAACAATTCATTAAAGTAACCGACTGATGGAGGTGTACCATATCCATATCCATATCCATATCCATATCCATATTAGTCTTTACGAAAAGTGAAAAGGAACGGAGAGAGAATTTTTATGTGTGTGTTGAGTGATCTCCTCATTTATTCTATGTGTGTATTAGTGTGTGTGTGTTGTAAAGGACTTTACGTGATTTTTGGCATTTGAATTTTGTGTTTATTTTTATTTTTATTTTTTCGAGTAAAAATAAATTATAATGACAATTAATTTTTATTTTTCAGATTTTTAACATTAATCATAATCTATATATACTATATTAAAAGCACGAATGCCATTAGCGAAATGTTGTTCGCCTTTTTTACCATTTAAAATTAAAGTTTACACTAGACAAAATAGTTAATTTTTTTTTAATATTTAGGAATATTCATTTAATTAATTCCCTACTATTTAGGAATAGTCATTTAATTATTTTCCTAATATTTAGGACTTTGAAATCAACTAAAACTTTACTTATTAGTAAATATTTTCTTATTTAATTATGTAGATTAATCTCACCCCAACTTTGTATCTTAAACATGTGTAAACATTATGATTCATGTAGTAGTCACTTTTTTATTTTGGCATTTTACTTAAACATAGAGGGGATTGGATTTTTACACTCTAATAATGTAACGACTCGATCGGTCGTTTTGAATTCTAGCGCGTCGTTCGGCGGTTTGAGGACCTGAGTAGCTCCACTTAATGTATTATGACTGTACGTATGACCGGAATCAGATTTTCGGGAAGTTCGGAGTTGATTTGGAAAGAAATCTCTAAATTCGGAAGCTTGAAGTTGGAGAATTGACTAAGGTTTGGATTTTTAGTAAACGACCTTGGAATTAGGATTTGAAGGTTCCAATAGGTTCGTAAAATGATTTCGGACTTGGACGTATGTTTGGGTCGGGTATCGGGTGGACCGAGAGTAATTCGGCACCCATTACGGAAGGTTAGTATTTAGAAGGTTTAATATTTTTTTAAGTTTGGGTTGGAGTTAGATTTTGAAATTATCGATATCCGTTTGGAATTTCGAGCTTGGGTATAGTTTCGTATGGTGATTTTGGTCTTAGGAGCGTGTCCGAATGTTGATTTGGAGGTCCGTAGGTCATTACGGCGTCGATTGACGAAAGTTGAAAATTTGGATGTTTTTGAGAAGTTTGTGACTGGGAATGGACTTTGTGATATCGGGACCGAATTCTGATTCTGGTAGTGGGAGTAGGTCCGTAATGTCAGTTATGATTTGTGTGCAAAATTTGGGGTCAATCGGACTTGCTTTGATACGTTTCGGCATAAGATATAGAATTTGAAAATTTAGAAATTTATAAGTTTAATTCGAGGCACAATTCATGATTTTTGATGTTGTTTGACGTAATTTAAGGCTTCGACTAAGTTCGTATTGTATTTTGGGACGTGTTGGTATATTTGGTTAATGTCCCGAGGGCCTCGAGTGGATTCCGGATGGTCAACGGATCGAGTTTGGACTTGGAAGAGAGGCTGAAGCAGCTGTCTTCTGGTGTAACCGCACTTGCGAGGTTTTGGCCGCAGGTGCGGAGCCGCAAAAGCGGACAAGAGGGGCGCAGATGCGGATTTCGTTGGGCAGTGTTGAGACCGCAGATGCGGCAGTCTCACCGCATAAGTGACACCGCACATGCGGAGTGGGCGGCGTAGATGCGCATAAGGGCCGCAGAAGTGGCCAGCGACCTTGGCTTGGTTTCTCGTAGGTGCGAGACTTGGAGCTGCAGAAGCGGCTGTCGCAAAAGCGACCTTCTCGCCGCAGAAGCGAAAAATTGTGCTGGGCAGTGAGGCTTCTTTAAAACGGGGGTTTGGCCCATTTTCATTTCATTTCGTCCATGGGAGCCTTTTTTGGAGCACTTTTGGAGTGTCATCTTCATCAACTATAATGGGGTAAGTGATTTCTTCACATTGTGAGTTAAATACATGGTTTTTATATAGATTCAAGCATGAAAATTTATAAAAATTTGGGATTTTGTAGGAAAACCTAGAAATTTATATTTTTGGCTTTTGACCACAAATTTGGAATAAATTATATATTTGAGTTAGCAATGTTATGGGTAATGTTAATCTTCAAACAATTTCGGAATCCGGGCACGTAAGCCCGAGGGTGAATTTTATCGACTCTTCGAGCGGAGTTGAAAATTATTATAAATTAATTTATTATGAGTATTAGAGTATATATTTATGGTTTTGCACATTGATTGACTAGTTTTGGAGAGACGGACATCAGTTTAGGGTGTTAGAGTGGCGTTGGAGCCGGATTTTGACATTTCGGAGCGAAATAAGTGTCCTGTCTAACCTTGTGAGGGGAAACTTACCCCTAGGTATTGTAATTGATATTTGATACTTGTTGCGGGGGCTACGTATGCACGAGGTGACGAGAGTCCTTACGTAGCTACTTTCAAGTTATTGTCCGGGTAGTCTCAGGTTCTCGTTATGCTATAACTGTACTATATGAGTTATCTCTGGCCTATTAAATTCTTTTACTTCACATTTCTATTTGAGACTAGACGTGCGTAGAGTGATAGACTTACTATTGTAGAGATTTGACGAGTTTCATGATTAGCCGCGTAATAATTGTATACCTCTTACGAATTTCTCTCGCGTTATGCGTTCTCATCGAAAGGTTTCCTCAAAGCTCCTTATAACTCACATGTCCCTTCGTGAGTGGGGTCAAAGACCCGTCAAAGTTTTTTTATTTTAATGGAATCGGGTTGTTCGCCTCGGCAATGTATATAATAGATGAATCTATGGTTATATACCAGATTATGATGGGATCGAGTCGTATGCCTCGGCATTTCTATGAAACACTTTTATGAAAACGTGCGTATCCTTTGTCAAAAAGCCAGTGTATCTGGGAGTTTTTTCTGATTTGAATTATGACA